GGGGGGGGGGGAGAGACCTTTGTTGACATCTTTAAACATTGACTCTTACTGACTTGTAAACAGTGGAAATGGCAAATATGTTGACAATACAACAGAAGTTCCAAATGTAAATGAAGAGCATGTCTTAGCAGACAATAGGAGAGTTGATGCACAAAATCTTATTTCCCAAAGGAGGGGATGAAGCTTATCAAAGAGGGGGGACTTATAAAAAAAATTCCACTTTCAAAAGGTGGGGTGATTTTTTAGAGTGGGGGGCAACTAGAACTTTACAGTAATCAGTCAGTGGATGGAAGCTCTAGCTATTAAACTACCTTGAAAATGATTTAGTATCTTAAAATCATGCCTACAAGTAAATGCTGCCAAAAGCTAACAACCTCTGTAGCCAGGGTAGAATTTTCCCCTTGGATTGGGGGTGGGGAGGGTAGAGTTAGGGACTGTCTATCTCTTTAAGTCTCAAAAGCGGTCAACATCATAGTCGGTATATTTTCCTTTCTAAGTATAATCCATGGCCAAGAAGTTGAAAATAAACAAACAAAAAATGACCAATAACCTAGGGAAACTACCCTGAAATAAGTTGACAAAGTCACAAATTACTAACATCAAAAGAAATGGTTGGAAGTCAGTAAAAGATGATTATTATCATATACTTTTTTTTGGGGGGGGGGGGGGGGGGGGGGGGGGGGGGGCGGTGGGAGCTGTTCTTGGCTTTAACAATAACATTGACAGAATGGAAATCGGTAATACCCAGAACCCGTTGAAGATAGGAATTATTTTAAATTGATGATCATTATTGGTTGTGGTGTAAGTGGACTTCACCAGAAACTGAAGGAGAAGGGCCTGATGGGGAAACACCGTCGAAAATGGAAAATTTTTGTCGTGGCTGTCTTAAATTTAATTGAAAGAAGGACAACTCGTCGTTGAACTGTTCGGCGAAAAATGGATGACCAAAGCCGTTTGAAAGTACGGAAAAATAAATAAGGAGCCGTCATGCAACATGGTCTCCCTTAACGTTTAGGGGAGTGGGGAGGGGGTAAGGCGAGCCCATTACTGGACGATTGTAGCGCAGGACATTTTTAACCAAAAGGAAAAATGAAGTTCACCGAATGCTGAGGACGGCACACAACAACAAGTACAACAAAAGTAAAACTGTTTTTACTAGAACTTGCTATCGTGACGCTATTGAAAAAAGTCTGGTGGTCGAGGACATGAAGGAATAGTGTATGATGTCATTGGTGATCTATTTATAGTCCCTCGCTTCAACGTGATGCAATACAGCTGTAAACAAACGAAATAACACATTCGGGATATAAAAGTACCTTTCCTTGAGTTTTCTTCATTCTCGAAACACTGAAAGCAACATGAAAAATACCTCCACAGAAAATTTTTATCGCCAAACAAATCGGCAATGTAGGCAAAATGGGAATAGTCGCCCGACAAGCCGTGACAACAACTTCTTCACGAACTTTTATACAGTCACATAATCGAAGGTGTTTTACGCGGCAAAACACGATCGAAGATCCTTTGCTAGAAGATGCTCAAATATATGTCGGAGAAAACTTCGTCGTCAAACATGGAAATCTATTTAACCTTCGCCGTAAAGTTTGCTCGCAAAACCATCCTGGGGTCGTATTTACAGAGCTAAGGCCACTGAAGCCAGTGTCACAAATGTCCTTGTCTAACGGAGCTAAACGAATGCGTACATGTCCGAATGCCGGTGGAAGCTCGGAGAAAAGTGAAGTGCTCAGTTTTGAGTTACTTCAGAGGTGTTTTGGAGCAGATCTACAGAAAACTGAGATGGAGGTGCAGTATTTTCCCGAAGGGGGCGCTATCACCGATTACACTTGCGAGATGTTCAGCACAAGACTTGGAGTCTCTGTGACACGAGCTATGAAGTATGACGGAGATTTCACAGTCGAAGATGCCGAAAGGTTACTAAACAAAAAGCTCCATGGAGTGTTAAGGTCCACCAAAAACACCATGGAAAGATGGAGCAAGCAAATTTTACATGTATGGGCAACATCTCTTGCCGTGTCTGTTCTTATTGCAGAGGCTTACAATCAAATTCCCAAGGACTTGAGGTCCAACACGGTTGTGTTAGTGACTGTCACAGAAAACAATGAAGTGTTTTCAAATTAAGTTATTTCACAAATTAACTTTATATATGATTAACTTTAGCGAAGTAGTCACTTCATGTAGTATTTTATCATTTTATATTGTTGTTGGCTGTGGTTGTTTTTGTTTATTTATTTGGCTATTTATTTTATAATTATGCTTGCTTTGGTAGGTCCACCTCAGGTATAAGATCGAGAGCTGCCCATTTAATGACCTACAAAACAAAAAAGTATATATGTATGTATGTACAATGTAAATAGAGATAGCTTCGTTCCAGACTTTTCCTGACAAATGTTTAAGAAACTGTTGTATAAATTTGTATATAAATTTGTAAAATAATAAAGAGATATCACAGTTGTTTTTGTGACTGTTACAGAAAACAATGAAGTGTTTTCAAATTACGTTATTTGACAAATGTAATCATAGATAGCTTTCTTTCAGAGTGTTGGATACCAATTTTTAAGAAACTGTTGTATAAATATCTGAAAAATCTCGTTTATTTTTTCTCAAGACCTGCGATAGGAAGAAACCAAGGACTTAGGCACAATGGCTAGGCTTAATCAATATTATTTCAAGCCATTTGTGATGGACCGCGGCTAAAAACAACAGAAACAATGAACCTTTTATAGCCCTTAAAACAATGGAGGTTGTGAACAATGGAGTGAATGAAATTACAGGTTTGAAGAGGTGCACAGCTTACTGATTAAAATGTGTTCCGAAAATATCCATACCCCTCCGATAGAGGGTTTTTGGTATGAACCCCTCACCTCCCCCCTACCCTACTGGAAACTCTAGTTTTGGTTCATACTTACCGTTAAAAATTTGGGCTTTTGAGACACCCCCATTTGCCCTTGGAATTTCCAGTAACACTCCTTGAGGGATATTTTCTGGAAACATACACTGGTACAGGTGGGAGACAGGGTACATTGCTTGCTGAATGTCAGCATAAGGGCTCCGAATTTAAACCTCCAGGTTCATACATTTTGTTCTGGTGTAAAATGCTTTCTTCTTACAGGACCACACATCAACTACAGCAATCTGACAAAGAATGGACTTGAGCATCAGCCTTCCACAAAGATTTAACAATCATGCTATGGACACCCATGTTGATTAACTTGTGAGACAGAGATTCCCTTTCTGCTTGACAAGACACAAGAGGGTCTCTAACCCAGCAGAAAGAGAATGGAATCTCTGTCTTGCAGAGCAAGTGTGGATCAATGAACCATTAGACTCTGTAAGCACTGTCCTTTTTATTTAACAACTGGTACATCAAGACTGTACAAATATTTTCAAACAATAGGCCATATTTATATTCATGGTACTGGACTGAAACTGGGAGGCACGGTGGCCTCCTGGTTAGTGCACTCGTCTCTGGATCGAGCGGTCCGGGTTTGAGCCCTGGCCGGGGACATTGTGTTGTGTTCTT